TTAAAATCGTATTATTAATAGTAAAGGCTTCTGCTAGTAGCCATTTTCGTAGAGTTAAGAATTGTCCTTCCGAATCACATGGACGTTAATTAAGAATCAATGAATTTTTGTTTTGTTATTACATCATCATACTATATAGGTGATTATATATGATATCGATATATCGATCTTTCGAAGTATTGACCCTTTCTAATTCTGATAGATTGCATATTTCATCATTCTAATTTTTAGAACCTTTTTTCGTTATGGTTAAAACGGGTTTGAGGAACCCATGTCCCTACGTCTCTCCGTTGGATATAAATCTTTCTCAAGTAGTTTTGAATTCAAGGGACCAGTTTTTTCACTCAATTGAAATGGCTTGTCACACCACTGAGCTACTTGGTCCTTTTAAAAACTTTGATCTAGAATATTAGTAGAATAATCAACTGTATATAGTCCTACAATATTATATTCATGCTACGTACTCGTTTTTGCTATCGATATATGTGTAAACTTGAAGATAAATCTTGTAACTGTATCTACTAAGTTCGTTGCCATTTACTCTTGATAATCCCAAAGTCCATGATATGCCGCGTTAATTGCAATAGTTAGAAAAAATTCAAACCTTGTGTTTTTATACATCATTCCCAAAATGCAATAGTTAGGAAAACTAAATTAGTAATAGGATTATATTATATGCAAAGCCCCAAAAAACTGAAATTTCCTAAAATAGAAACTTGATACGAATTGGCAATAAAAGTAGCATATCTAACTTCACGTACTATTGTTTATTTCACTACCACATGGGAGTGAAATTGATTGTAAATGAAAATGATATTACCTTATTTTTATATTATTGATCACCATATATTTAAAACAATAAAAATTGTGAATAATTTTTCTAAATACTGACACTTTTAGTTTGCGTACAAATATTTCCTATATTTGGTTGTTAAAGACCCAAATTAGTCTTATAGTTGTACAAATTCATATCATATGACTGGTAAATAAACACACACATGTTTTATGATTTGTTCCAAACGATGTATATATTTTTACACTCTTACCAACGTTAAATAATTACAATATTCTCTCACACATTTAAAATTGTATGTCTCAAATATAACTTCATAGTCATAGTTTAAAGTTAACTTTTAAGATATATTTTTGTTTTACAACTATTGATCTTTCTTTTTTTTTTAAGCTCAAACATACCAACTTTACTTAGAATACTGAAGTACTAACCATTGCTCTTTTATGGATTAATGTTTGATTAGTTTCTATATTAGATAATGTATCAACTAGTTCTGGATAATTGTCGACGTCACAACGTGGTATATATGCTCTCTTTCATATTCTATCAATGTCTTCTCAAAGTGGGTGATAACATCGGGTCTTAAATGAGAAGACCCACAAGGTCACAATCCGTTTTGCCGTTGGAACAGTGAACGCAAATTAAATTTTA